GGGTATATTATACTAAGATCCCCAGATACCGCATATTCTATCTACTTAACGGGACTTTGGCTATTTTCAGCCCTGGGAGCACAACCGTTTTTCAAGAAAGAACGGATGTCAAATAAGTTTGCATTGTTCTTCCTGGCCTTCCAAACTCAAACAGAAACTAGAGCATTGTGTCTTGGAATTGATGCTTGAAGAGTTGCTCTCATCCGAGAATCTGAAGAAGAGGGTCATGTTGTTGGCCGACTGCTGGAAACGAAGACCCTCAAAAGAGACGCAGAAGGTCAAGGTTGCTACAGGGTGTCCATCATGCAAATCTGCTTTTAGAGATCCTCCGCCTCTTAAGCTGTGTTTAGGGGTTTACGGTTTAGGGTTTTGCTACATGTGATGCAGCAACTGGTTCACAGATTTGATTCCAGACAACGATCGTGTCGCACAAGAGGGCACTGGATTTTCTGAAACACAACCTTGTCTTGCAGAATGCAATAACAGCATGGAAGGCAACAAAGAGCTGCAAACGAAGATTGAAACCAAGTCTAGAGACTAGATCCTCAGCATGAGGTAAAGGTGAAGAATTACTCTAAATGCCTCCACAACTACGAAAAGGTCGTGATATGCCTGCCGCTGGTAGGCTTAGTCCCATTCCTTTCCTGAACCAGTGGCCCGGGCATGCAGTGAAGTCCCCCCAAATTGGGCACCCCTCCCAGGGTTTAGGGTTTAGGGTTTGGGGTTTAGGGTTTAGGGTTTAGGGTTTGGGGTTTAGGGTTTGGGGTTTAGGGTTTAGGGTATTCCCCATGAAGGACCTTCATATTGAGAACATATTTGCTATCACTTACAGGTGCTTAGAAGGGAACCATGGAATTTATCATATGATATAGAGATTATATCCCCGTATTCTTTACCCTAAACCCTAAACCCTAAAAGCCTAAAACCCTAAACCTTGAAACCCTAAACCCTAAAACCTGAAAACCCTAAACCCTACGAGGGCTGGAAGTTCATGTCCAAGGTCGCAGACAGCCTCCGAAGCCCCGGCGGCCGCCGCTTCTTCCGGGCGCTGGTGCGAAGTGAAGCGGCAGGGTGCTCAACGAGAAAACTCCAGTTTTAGATAGATTCTAACTTGTGTCCCTCCTTCAAACCCTATAAGCCCTATAAACCAGTTGTTTCTAAACACGCCGGCTGTGGAAAGTTTCACGGACCAGGAGAGACAACACGAGGGGTTGCAAAACTCAAGGGTCGACTTTGGGGGGGGGGTCCTTACCATAAGGATTGTAGAGCGTTTAGATATAGAAGGGGGGCCCCCTCCCCCCACGCGTTTGCAAAGAATAAGAGTAGCAGGAAGAGCTGTACGTGAAGGGGAAATGGCTCAAGGTCTTGCACAGGCCAACGTGTTTAATGTCGAGATGGAGAACATGTCTCTTCGCGTTCTTACGAAGTTGGGGGCTTCTTCACAGCTTTTGTTTGACGCCCAGCTTTGCCGATTTGTCCTCAGAATTTGGTCAGGGTAGGGGAGGGTTTTCGAGGGCGTCCTGTCAGGACCTTTTGAACATCAATGAATGCGGGGTGACAGGGGGCACTTTTGGAGTAGAAATGGATGCCTTTCAGTATTGATGATGCTGGCTCAGAGGGAGTTCTGAGGCCCCTAAACCCTAAACCCGAAACGGCGCAGACACATTTGGAGCCATAATCTAAACTCCTTAAAGGGCTTATTAAGGGGGATACTAGGAATTTAGACTAAAGCTCATTTGGAGTCTTGCGCCCTCTGACTGCGTCTGGGCCGGCTTGCCACACAGAAGGCAGGAGTGATTTTGACAGAGCCAGCGCCAGACTGCATGTGGGTGGATGTCAAAATTATGGTTCCTTTTTGGGTACCCAAAATATTAAGTGCCGTATTATAGTAGGGATCTAAAAAGGGGCCATAATTTTGACAACCACCCATGTTCAGTTTGGCAAGGTTTAGGGTCTAGGGTTTAGGGTGAAACGTTTTAATCCCTGGTCATTTCCAGAATCCTCCGTGAAGAGGAACACGTACTGAGATGGATGGATGGCTCTGTATGAAACAACAGACTCTTCTTGTTTCGGGACATATAATTGGACCCTAAATTCCACTGTCCTCAATACCCTAAATCCTAAACCCCCAAGAAGCGCTATACTTCTCTGTTTGTGGAAGATTCTTTGGGATCGACTGAGGCCAAGCTGTGGGGCCGCATCTATGGAGGCCAGGGTTTAGGGATTTAGGGTTTCAGTGTGGAGGGGGTAGGGTTTAGGGGTTTAGGGTTTAGGGATTTAGGGTTTAGGGGTTTAGGTTTTAGGGGTTTAGGGTTTGGGGGTTTAGGGTTTAGGGGTCGTGAAGGTCCCCCATGCAAAGGAGGCACTTCCTGGCACAGAAGGGTCGCGGCGGCCGCCCCTCCCACAGCAAGACGGGTTCATTCCACATACCTATAATCCCTATATAAACCCAAAATAATCCGTATAATCCTTGTAGTTTCCATTGTCTTTTTCAATATGCCTGTATGAATTACCCTTATATCTACTTTGGGGGGGGAGCAGTGCTGGCTGCGAGCGCAGATGATCATTTGGAATCCTGGCTAGGAAGCAAATCATAGACTTTGCTCCACCAGGTCTTGCAAAACACCAGAAAAGACCGCTTAAGCTGTCCACAATTGAACACCAACTTGTGAAAGTTTCCGGGACTCCTGTTGATGTGTGTGTACTTGCAGATTTCAAATAAGCAGTTGACAAATGTGGACACTTGGGTTTCCTGGCTTTGACGGTAACAGGTTTAGGGCCAGTGAGAGTTTCTCCAAATTATGTGTCCTCGTTTGGGAGGCCCCTAACGCAGGCACTATTAGTTTCATCGCTTTGTGGAGCGTATGCAGGTGGGACCTGGCTTTCGAGAATAACTTCATCATGTCTGTCGTGCGACAGCAGTACCTATGCCAGAAGCACCGGGCAGCACGTATACCAATGCTCCGTAGTGACATCGCAGTTGCCTATAGCATGATAGTATACCCCCGTTCGCTGACCCTTCCATACCACCGGGGTCCATGCAATGTTTCCTTCTGCACTCTAGTATTCTTGTTATTTGCGCCCCTTCAATCTGATCCTTTGACACTAAACCTCAAGACCTATAGTCCCCTTAAGTAGATAGAATATGGCCTTGGGTGTATTATAATAAGATCCCCATATACTCATATTCTATCTTTACGAAGGGGTACTATAACTCCTGGAGCCCCAACTACCCAGCTGCTAGTGTGGGCCAGGACGGCGAACTGAGATGAAAGCTACGCGGGACTTAAAAGAGTGCAGCGCGCAATGGTTTGTGCAACTTTTCTTCTCGCACTACCTCCATTCTTCTACTTAAAATGCCCAAGCCCCAAACCCCCAACCCCTAAACCCCAAACCCCTAAACCCTAATCCCCCAAACCCTAAACCCATAAACCCTAATCCTTATTTCTATGTTGCTCTTAGTTTTACTTCTGTTACCTTTTTGTTGCTGTGAAGAACCCTCTAGGAGGTGCGGAAGGCGTTGAAAAGCCTCTGCTACCTTCAAGGCCATCATTACCACAGCGCCACCACCTTCCTGTCTAGCTCTCCAGTGAGTATACCCTGAATAAGTGCCATTTGCGCAGCGTACGCCCCAAAACCCCTTTTAAACTAGTCCAGACCCCTACCCTACATAGCCGCTACATACTCCCAATTCCCGCCTCCTTTCCCCTTTGTTTTCTATTTCCATTTGATACTCGAATGTGTCCCCTAGGATTCCAATGACCGAAATAATAGTTGGTATTTGGGCCCTCAAACCCTATTATTAATGGTATTTAGGCCCTGAAACCCTATTATTTGGGTCCTTGGACCCTTAGGGTCTATGGAGGTACAGAGGTTCCAGAGGATGCTCTAGGCCAGCTACCAGGGGAGCATTGGCCTGCAGGGCTCAGGGCTTGAGGTTGAAGAGGGTTTAGGGTTTAGGGCGTTGGGCTTAGGGTTGAGGAGGGTTCTTAGGGCTTAGGGTTGAGGAGGCTTTAGGGCTTAGGGTTGAGGAGGGTTGAGCAATGAGCGTATGGGCATGTCCAAAGATGTGTGTCTGGGAATCCCATGCAGAGTCCATGGGGCCCACACTTCCGCAGTTTCAGGAGCAGTGGGGGGTTAAAGCTTCAGGAGCTCAGGTTCAGAGGCGCGGTGTAGGGGGTTTAGGGTTTAGGGTTTAGGGTATAGGGGTTTAGGGTTTAGGGTTTAGGGGTTTAGGGTTTAGGGGTTTAGGGTTTAGGTGTTTAACGATCAGGAATTCCCTCCGCCTACAGTCGTAGCAGTGGCTTGGAGGCGCAGCTGTTGAGCTGAACCTCCTACCCAAAGGCCTGCGCTCAAATCGAACGTGACAATCTGGTTACCTGGACTCTGGATGTCGTACTTTTTGGAATATACCCTACAAAAAGTATTTGCGACAAAACCCCCAAAAAGGAAGGCCATCCAGTGTCCAGGTAGGGTTTAGGCTGTAGGGTTTACTTGCCGGCCTTTTGTTCCCGTCGAGGGTACCTGAAGAAGTTAGTTAGGACCTCCACATCCTTGCATCCAAGAAGCTTTCGCAGTCATCGCGTCGAAGTCCTGCAGGGCCAACAGGAGTTATAAAGCCAGTACCTTCACGATGGTATATATCAAGCAGGTTACAGAGGTAACTTACTGGTTCTTAATCGGGAACAAGGGAATATCCCTATATAATCCACATAGAATATGCCCTAAACCCTAAACCCTTGACCCTTAAACCCTGTTTCCTACTAATCCCCAGTAGGGTAAGTGGCAAGCCGAGTCCTCCTCGTGCGTAATTTTCCCCAAATAGGGGACCCCAATATAGAACCCATAATACTACTATTCTGACTATGGGTGCCCAAAACGGGGACCCCTAATCTTGGGAAACCCTAAACCCGAGACCCAATATATCCCCCACGTAGCCCCTGTATCCCCTTTAACGGGACCCCCTAATTTTTGAGAAACCCCGAAAGACCCCGCCTGTTTTGTTTTGGGGTCTCCCTATTAAAGCAGAACACCAGAAAACGTGTACTCTTCTTGTTACTATTATTGAGTGGGGAACCTAGTGTTCTAGATTCTAGACAAAACCGGCCTATCAATGTGTGCGAAGCAGCTAAGACGGAAGCAAACATGGGAACCCCAGGGCGTTGCAAGCTCACGACTTTTGTTAGTCTGAATGGTGGGAGGAGAGGAGTTCGTGTCCGTTATTGCCACAGCCCTCGACTCGGCCTTTCGCAAGGTTGAGGCAGCTTCTGCAATGCAAAGGGTTTAGGGTTTAGGGTTTAGGGTGAGGGCCAGAAGCAAGCCTTCTCATCAAATGCTTGGGGTCTCGTCATCCAACCTGCACTGTCCAGAACTCACACGTTCTCATAGCATCAACTTGGAATGCTAGGAGATTCACTCCGAACCCCAACTATCCTGTAGCCCTGAACTCTAAAAGGTAGTTTGCGCACAGACAACCGACAGCGTGGACTTATGCCAACCCTCCATCCGTGGGCAGCAAGTCTGCAGAAGCAAGATGACAAGAGGTGCTGGTTTCAAAGTATTTCGACAAGATGTTAACTACCTGGATGCACAGCTCTGCAAATCTTACTTGCCGTCGACCAGATCTTCACTTTGTGTAGCCACCCGTGCACAACATTACCGTATGCCAGAAGGTACGATACAACTATAGGCGCTGAAGTGATGCGTGTGCATGTGTCATGTCACATGCAGGTGCAAGTAGACCCTATACCCTAAACCCCCTAAACCCTAAACTCCAGCACTTTAGGCAGTTCTGGAAGTTAGCACAGCACCTTCCGTAAGCTACGAGTCATACAATGGCCACACTAGGGTTTAGGGTTTAGGGGTTAGGGTTTAGAGTTCCTTTTTGGGGCCCATAAAAAGGACTATAGTATTTTGGGGCTTATATGCTCAGATAACGTGCAGGAGCTGTAGGTACGTCTACCACGCGCGATAGGTCCTGAAACGTAAGCTCGGCAATCATGCATGTGGCCGCAGCCTGGGGGCTCCAAGGAGCCAACCGACCCACATGATTTCACGATCAACTTTAAGTTCAGGACCCCCAATGGGACTGCGGTTATGTATGCATGGGTATGCTGGAGTTAGTTCCTTCTCTTGACCTTAGACCTGGTAGAGTGTTCCAACCTGAGCTCTCAACCCTGACGTCCCTGAAGCTCCTCCATTCGGACTTCTGACAAATGGAAAGCACACGCGGCGCATTCCGCGGCATCGCAAAAGGGTTTGCCCAACCTTCCTCCCCCTCCCTTGAAAAAGCCTCGCTTCCGCGGGTGCCGCGGGTGCTGGATTATGCAGCCCGCGCTGGCACGGCTTTACCAAACGTTGGGTGCAGCAGCTGGGCGAGTGTGCTGCTTGGATGCAGAGTCCTTAGATCCCAAAGTAAGGAACCGTAAGGAACCATGGCTTTCTCCGCGCAACGTATTGTCTATCCCTTCTGCAACTTAATCCAACACGTGCTTCATCCCTGTCAAGCCTCCATACCAAAACCAGACCTACCCAAGCTACGCTGTTTCTCAGGCCATGTGCGCTTTGCATCTGCATCTGTTTTGCACGCTGAAGTGGAGGGCCGCCTGACACAAGGCTTGCTTGGCAATCTGTACAGGTTTCGCGGAAGCTTGGAGACAGGGGGGATCTGTACATGCACAGAGACAGAGAGATACAGAGAGAGGGAGAGAGAGAGAGAGAGAGCAGAAGGAGAGAGTGCTTTTGTATGTTACTTTAGAGATGATGCAGGCCTGTTGTTGGCAATGTGGGCAAGTCTCTCAAAGTTTTGCACCAGCGCCCGCTGACCATGGACAGTGAACACTTGCTCAAACAGAACCGAAGAAATGTAGACCCATGATTAATACCCCCTTTTCAGGGCCTTAACAGTAGGATCCCTATATGATCCCTATCAAGGTGAGGGGATTTCTTGATCAGGGGTTTGGGCTAGTGAGACTGGGTTCGGGGGATGATGGCTAGCAGACCGACATGAAGGCCGTGACCATGATGTTTCCAACAGCTTAGATTTGAAATTTGCTCGTGATGCTTTTCCCAAATCTAGAGAGGCCTTCAAGCAGTATGGAAGGCTTCTGCAGTAGTTTACCCAAAGTACAAGCCTAAACCTCCAACTCAAAAAAATCTGGTGTCTAAGGTCTAACCGTGGACACGTAAAAATGGGCCCCTACCTGTTTC